CTTACAGTCAAATATAACAAACGTCTGAAGCAATAAGAGAAACATACTAAATGTGCAGAGCGGGGGTACGCGAGGACTGGAATTGAGAACCGCTGTTCTAGACATGCCAAAAATTTGACGCTACAGCACAGCAGCTCTTCTTCTTGGTTTTCTCTGATGCACTAACTCTGCAGCAGCTCTTCTTCTTCGTCGTCTCGTCTGATGCGCTCACTCAACCAAGCGCTCTAACCATAACCTCGCCCCTCCCCACCCCCCAACCATTCACTTTTCTGTAGGCGGGAATTATTTGTAATGAAATTCTAATGAGCCGCTTTGTGATATCACAAAGCCCGGAAAACAAACGCTGTAGTCCAAACGAGCCGTTCGTTGTAGTTCTTGAAAAGGGATTTTTAAAAAACTAAATATCTCCCTTTGGAGTGGACTTTGAGATTTGTAACTTTCTAAATCTTTTTAATGCCCAAACATACACACTACACACTGACTAAAATTAAAAAAGTGAAAAAGCATAATAGGACCCCTTTAAGGTTACAACTGCACCTGTCTGAAACAAAAAGCAGACAGCAGAGATTGATTTATTAGATTCAAAGTGTTCAATATACTGTCATTATAAAAATAACTTTAATCATTTAGTTCTGACAAGTAAGTTTTTGCTCAAAACTAACCAAATTAAAAAATAATTTGTTTATAATCTCTACACAGGACAAACTTGGTGTTGTTTTCAAACAAAAGGAAATATATTGACTTCGGCTATCGGTCAAAATGAGTTAAAAAATACAAGCATATCAGATATCGGCAAAAACCCAATATCATGCATCCCTACTTAAAATGTTTAATGATTATAATGGGAATTCTATGAAAAAAACGTATACTAGGGTGCTAAAAATGCTTGGTTCACTGAAAACTCACTAAAAACTGGACATAAAGAGTGAAAAATGTTGTTTACCTGCAGGATCCAGATTTCACATTGAAGTCCCAAAGAATAACCAAATATGCTTACCATGCAACAGTGAATCATGCTTTCATTGTGGTCAGCACAAACCATGTTTACCTTTGTTGCAACTGAACCCGTGTTTACTGTAAACTGGAACATATTTTGTTGAACATTTGTTATTTTGTATTGTTTTTCAAGGATGGGGGCACGTCACGCAACCTGTCAGTGCTGGCATCTGCCTAGCTTCTACCTTGCGACAGATGAATTTGCATTGAAATACCGTAGAGTTTTTTTGGGCAATCATTGTTTGAGTAGGCAATCCTTGGCATTTTAGCATTGTTTTTTCCCTACCGTCCATGACCCTGTCTGAATAGAGCAGCGATCCATTTTTTTTCAGTTGCAACGGACCAGTTGCATAGAGCATTTGAACAGACATTCAACTTTAACAGTGTTGCTTGGCAAAACACCCATGACGCTGAACAATTGTGAACTTTGATGAGTCCTGTGTTTGAAAATCTCCTATTTGCTACTTAATCTCATTTTGAATAATGTCACAAGGCTTCCTGGAATGTGGCTATGCTACGAATGCAGAGCTGAACGACTGTGGACAATGAGCTGCAGCGTGCCAGCATTACTGCATGCCCTTACAGAGCAATAACAAGAGGAAGGCCCTGGATGCAATAAATTAATCCTGTGAAATCCCCAAGGGAGCCAGCCAGACATTGAAGATTAACAGAGTAAATATGTTTCTAAGACGGTGCATGCTTAACCGGTTCGGACAACTTTAACATTTATCGTAGGAATGAAAGATTCAGATCTTTTCAGTTATTTTGAAGTGAAGACTTGGGAAAGAGTAGTGAAACATTACCTTCTGTATGACACAGGGCTGTGAATTCCTGTGAATGGATGGCCACATTTGTCAGTCTGGACAAGTGCTGACAATTTGTTATGTATTGCATTTGGCAGTGATTCAGTCAGCTTTTACCTCACCATTCTCACATCCACCAGGAAAACACCAAATGTTCAACCCATTAGCTCAGAAGCAAAGGCATTTTACAACAAGCCGATGGCTCGAGGTTGTGGAGACCCTTTGGCTATTGTAACTGCAGATTTAAAAACAACGTCTTTATATTACCAATGCATCTGCCACATTATCTGAATCAGCGGTCCACATTCGTTTGACTAAAACTGCATCTTGGGTTGTGTTTAAACTTTTCCACTTGGAGGTTTTCCATTTTTGAATCTGGAAAAAATGGCTATTTTGGCAACAGACAACTTAACATCTGCAACCCTAACAGACACTTAACAAAACCTGTGGCTGACCTGTTAATTTCAGCATGTACTGGGAATCCTATCCACAGTGCCAGATGAAAACCTTCAGGATGTGATTGCAAAATATCCGAAGCTGAGCCTTCACTTTACCAGTTTCATACTCAAGCCTGTGGTGCTGATGAGCCTTTCACCAGCTTTCAGTACGATCAAGCTGCTATCTTTACAAGTTGCAGATGTTTCTTTGGCCTGCACAACATCAAAACTGATCAACGCAGGGTTCTTACTCTGGCTAGGGGTTATTTTTATTTGTATAGGATCTGGATTTGGATTTTTTAGCAGCTCCAATAAACAACTAGAAAACTGTACCTGCATCCACTCCATTTATTCATCCACTGGACGGGTGGATGGATGGTTGGAGTAGACTAAACATCCACGACCATTTCACATCACAGATAAAGAAAGCCCTGGCTGGCTGTAAATATTAATTGGTGAAAACCAGCTGCCGCTTTTCTAAAGCAATGTAAGTGGAAGGCAGCTGAATAAGATTTCTTCTGGCATAGGCATTTACTGACCACAAATGTGCAGTAAATGATAGGGTATGTCGAGCATGATTCAGCTTTTCATTTATTCGAGAAGCATCGAAGTCAGTGCCCAAAGAAATGTGAAAATCACAAAGGAGATCTCCGAAATATCTTGAATGTTTCTCATAGACCTCTCCTTGAAGTGGCAATTTGCCCCAAAATCTAAATTCTGTCATCATTTACTCACCCTCATGCCATTCCAAACCTTCTGTTGAACACAAAAGAAGGTATTTTGAAGAATGTGGTTAAATGGTAGCCACTGACTTCCATAGTATAGCAAAAAATACTATAGAAGTCAGTTGCTACTGTCAACTCTTTGGTTACAAACATTCTTCAAAATATCTTCTTAAGTGCTCAGCAGAAGAAAGAAACCCAGCGTTATGGTGAGTAAATAATGCTGTCATCATTTTCATTTTTGGATGAACTTTCCCTTTAAGTCTCCTGCTTTTTAAATTTTTCTCCTCAATCTCTTGACTGAGCCCAAATTGTCAGAGGTTTTAATATGAACTCAAACATTTCTTCCTAGACAAAACTATCTGACCAGTGCTATTAATTTTACAGCTATATGCTTAAACTGTCAACACTGTGTCGTGTTTCTAAAAGAACTCCATTAAGTTTAATGAGCATAAAAGAGCAACTTCTCACTAGTATGTTTGCCTGACACAGCGGTGTGAACAACAAAATCAAGTCAAATTTAAATATTTAAGTTACAGAGTGGGAGGCAAATGCGAAGACGGTCACTATCTTTACTTACTGTAACCGAACAAAACAACGAAAAATAAAAAAAGAGTTGGTAAGTAGTTCATAGAGACGTAAACCCAAACGTTCATGTTACATCGTTACAGTGAAGTAGCGCGCCGGTTGTGAAAAGGCCCTCGCCTCACTGTGAAAGAGTTCATCATTAAAGAGAAAAATAAGAAAAGACGTACTTTTGAAATGGTGAGCGGTGTGCTGAAGTCCCGTCCACCCACCAGACGAAAACCCCACGGCGAGGGACCGGTGAGAGTCACAGTGTGAGACATATTTGATTCAAACAGTATCCAAAGCAGAAAAACTGCGCTCTCCTCATTCACTCTTTAAATAAAACTAGTGCTGTCGAGTGAGGAGGAGCAACTCACAGCGCTGCAGGGGGAGGAACAGCGCCGCTATGACAACCATACACAACTCCACACCACACACAACTCATTCAAAACCATATGCAAATTAACATCATACACAATGAAACCTTTTTAGGACGAGAAAGATTTAAAACCCAAACAGCTCAACTGCTTTTAAGTGACGCTCTTAAAAATAAAGCACATGTGGTTCATTGAAGAACCATTTTATTCCACAAAAGGTTCTTTAGATTTTTGAAGTCTTCACATGAAAAAAAAAACAAAAAACATTTGGATTTTTTTAAAAGAAGTGTAGCTCCGCCCCTTTTCAGCGCTGAGCTCATTGTCTTCTGTCTTATGTTTTTATTTCCACAGCGTGAATGTCGTACGTATTTATGAATGGCATTTGTTTTAACATCCGCATCGAGCATTACAATGCTCATGATAACTTTCGTTAGCTCTTCAGTAAGTAAACGTCTCAGGTTACTTATGTAACCATGGTTCCCTGAGTAGGGAACGAGACACTACGTCCTCTAGGGGTCGCTATGGGGAAACCTAGAGGACGCAGTTCGAAGTTCCCATGAAAGGGAACGTCTCAGGTTACTTATGTAACCATGGTTCCCTGAGTAGGGAACGAGACACTACGTCCTCTAGGGGTCGCTATGGGGAAACCTAGAGGACGCAGTTCGAAGTTCCCATGAAAGGGAACCAACTTTACATTGTATTGGTTATTTATTTGATAGGGACAATGCATGTTAATGCACATTTGTAGTAGCCTAATACAAAATGTAAACAAGCCGGATTATAGCAACTTTGCTAATTTACATACACACAAAGACACAAACTCAAATACACATAGGCTACACTACATAAAAGACTAATACTCCAACACATATTTAAAATGTCTAAGTAAAATGTTTACACAACTGATTCGTCATAAGCCAATGTTTAAAATGATCTTTAAAGGTATGATAAGTAGAACATGTCTTATTGACTGCGGTAAGCTATTCCAATATTTACTCCCTATTACAGACAATACTTTCTGTCCAAAAGATGTTCGCTTGTATGGCACCTCACAGTCCCCTCTAATAATAGACCTATAGTACCAATACTACAATCTGTCCTTAGGTTTTATAAATTCATTTAACGGAGGGGGAGCAAGCCCATACCAGACCTTATAAATAAAACAAGCATATTTAAAAAAATGTCAATAGATTGTGTGTGTTTTTTTTAAATGTTACAGTGATAAAATGACAAGGGTTTTTATCTAACACTTTTATCGCCTTCTTATACAATGATTCTAGTGTCTTTAGGGTTGTGCCACTTATAAATGACCAACAAAAAACAATACTCAATATGTGAAAAGATCATTGAGTGTAAATACAACCTAGAAGCACCGACTGTCAAAAATGGCCTAATGTTTACAATATTAGACAACGTTTTCACGTGACTCTTTCAACGGAAGTTCAAAGACAAAATTAAAAAAATGGCTTCTCTAAGGTCTATAGGAGGAAAAAAGCATTATGTGTGCCATTGTTTTTTTCTTTTCTTTCTTTTTTTCCCCATTTTGTGTGGCATCATTTACACTTTGACTTGTTCACTGTACTCCAGACAATAATTGTAAATAAGACACATGAATGAATCACGGCATATTTATCCAACATGACCAACCTAACTTGAGACAAAAAAAAAAAAAGTCTCATTAGTTTGGTCACGCTGCAATAAAACAGCCAACCCCCACATGCATAATCCTCACCTTTCTCAATAGTTTCATCTTTGCAAACATCAGTCAAACCATAAGGTTAAAGTCGACGCTGTTCGTTTCCATCTTCCTTGACCTCAGCTCTCCAGAACATTGTTTTTCCAAACAACTATCCAATTGGCGGAAAGTCAAAATGAATAATTTGCTTTACAGTATGAGATTTGGAATGCTAATATAGATTTCATAACCAATTCATGAAGGCAATGAACATACTGGAGAAAATTAGACTGTTTAATTCATGTCGTTAGCATAATGCTATATGGAATATTAGTAGCAGATGTATTTGCAGATGACGCTAGTGTAATCATGTCCAACTTCTGAGTACAGTAGGCCTATATGTGCTTTAACACACGGAGGGAGAGCCGGGTGGAATAGAAAAAAAATCAAATGTAGGGGCTATTCAAAGGCTTTACATACAAGAAAAAATATAATATCTATTCTTTGAAGCTGAAGTAACTCATTTTGACTTTTCATGAAAAGCATAACCTTGTGTTTGACAGATGGTCCTGTTTAATACTTAATAGTGTTGTGTGTTAAAAAAAGGAGATGATGCAAGTCACATATGCAGAGCAAGTGATGAATACTCTACAACAAACAGCCTTGGGCTTTTCATTGGCTGATTCTGTGCTTCCTACCTCATTTCCACCTCATGCTCACTGCATGTGACACTGCCCTGGACTTGAGTGGACTGATTGCTGCTCCGTTTTGACTTATAATAGCCTTCAGAATGGAAGAAAGTAGGTACAAAGTGCAAGGAACCCTTGTGAAACAGAAGTGCACTTTAGCATACTATTAAAACGAATGCTTAATAAACTTTAAAAATATGGTAACACTTTAGTTTAGGAACCGATTCTCACTATTAACTAGTTGTTTATTAGCAAGCATATTACTAGCATATTGGCTTTTTATTAGTTCTTATAAAGCACATATTAATACACATTTGTAATGATGAAGTTGCAATTTATTACATTTAAAATATATTAACTTTAAATGTGTAAACATTCTGAACTGCTGAACTATCCACTGCAGCTTTCTTATTTTATTTATTTTATTTCATTGGCTTTTGAACAATGTTATGACCTTGGCCTCCTATAGCCCCACAACGGTTTACACGGTTTGACATCCAAGTAGGGTTCACACATGGGAGCTGATGGTCTGCGAGATGATGGCATGTAAAGTTCCTATGAATCATTGACAAACGCATACAAACATATGGAAAAGAGAGGAACCTGGCATGGGAAAAGAGGGTATCGGATCAAAGCTTTAAGATTAACCAGAACAGTCATACATGCTTACAAACCATGACTCCTTTGTCAGGTCCTGACAGAACAACAGGGCTGAATCTGCTCAGGACGCTTCAGAAGGCTTTGCTGATTTGGCTAGTTTGATTTGGTTTTCAGCAACAAATGAGAGTATAATTCTGCACCCTCACCTTTGAGATAACGTTTTCTTTTATCATTGACCATTTATGACTGCGCTTTAAAAAAGGTCAACATTAGATACACTTCAGAACATAACAAATATAGAGAAGTTTTGTAGCTTCTTACTAAACATTGCCGAAATCATAGGCATTAAAAACACTGTATTAATCATTACCACACAAATGATGTCATGCTTATTATTATTCCACTCCCAAGTGTTAAATGGATGTCACTTTACACAGACATTCAGCTTCACAATAGAGAGCTTATAAGTGTTCTAGCCGAGGGCAAAGTCGAGTCAACACAAGGCCAAGCTTGTTAATACATACAGTACTTAGTGAATTTCTACATCATTCTGTTTATATCTACTGTGGTGCAACAAAATTAACAACACTTCTTTCAAATTAACAATAGCTTTTTCACACACACCACCAAATAAATAAATAAACAGTTGCACTTTCTTCACTTTTATGTGAGTCAATATTTCTTTCAAGTTTTAAGTTTTTTCTTTTTTATGTTTTCAAGCTTTTATTTTGACAGGTTTCCGTCAAGTAAGTATATGCGCTGTCAGTTTTAGCGCTGCAGCGTCATTGAATGAAATGTCACAGTTTTGCGTTTTGTATTATGGTTGCGTTTTTCTTTCTTTTTTTTTTTTACAATTCTTGATACCACTTACCATAGCGGAAACTAAATCTAGGCTAACTAACATAAGTGCAATATAAAAAAGTCTTCAAGACAAGTAAACAGTCATTAATAAAAAAGTAAATCAAATGACTAACAATACAACAAATAAAATAAACAATGCTTTAAGTTTTCATGTAAGTCAATCTAACAGTATAGTATTCAGTTAATAGCCTACTAAATGTAAAAATAAAAAACTGCATAGTTTTCTCTGTATGAATTAAATATACATTTATTCTTATTAAAGCTACTAAAGTTATTCAGTCAAGAGCAGTGAGTGTTTTTTTCTTGTTTTGTTGCAATTATATTAGGCTGCTGTCATTTTAATACTGAATAAATATATTTAATAAATCTTTTTAATATCAAATACATCCCACACTAGACTGCATTTTTTATGACAGCCACATTACATAATCTGACTGATTTGGACGCAACTGAATGCGGCACGTGAATCGTTTTATCTTGATTATCCTGCTTACATAATTGTTGGAAGACAAAATAGCTGAAGCTAAAATACAATGAATCGCACAGCCCTAGGTTAAGCTGTATATTTGATATATAATTATACAGTATCACACTAATAAAAAAATTAACTCAAATGAATATGTCTGTTTCATGTTAACTCATTTGCCAAGCAGCCGCATAATAAGCAGGACACATAAACTCCATCTCAATCCCCCTCTTGAGATTTGTTTTGTGGAGCTATTGCAACATCTCAATAAGTCAACAGATGAAGGTCATAAAATGTACAGTAAAAGAAGCCTTTGATTTGTATACTGTTGTACACAGACTATAAAGTGATCCATCTTCCTTACTAAGGCCATTGTGTGGCCCAAGTCAGGGATTTTGTTTGCTTTCTGGCTTTTATGTTGTGTTCATTGGCCTCTGCTTTGGTTTGTTTGGCCAGGAATAAGCTTGAGGCATCTTGTTAGAGCAATGCCTTGTGCTACTTTAAGAGTTAAGAGAAACGCAAACATGACGTCTCGTTATAAGGTTGTATTAATGTAGTACCACATGTACGCCCTCAGTCCTGCACTGACCATCCAGTGCAATATTGCACAGGGAAATCTAAACTAAATGCACACCTAAACAAGTGGGTCTCAGAGATTTTTCCTGTCCAAGTGGGCATTTTTCTATTT